GAATAAATGGTGAAAAAACCTGCTCAGAAGAAATAATTTAGATCAGAAATGTACTTGATGTGTCTTGTCAGGCTAAAGAAAGTTACACATATATGTCAATATCAATCACTCTTGAATATTGGACCTGCTGCTTGTTGGTTTTGAGACCGTGGCAAATTAAAGCATTGAGTACCAGGTACAGGAGCAGCACAGATAGCAGGGTTTGCTATTTTTAGTGCCCTGTAGTCCTGGAATTTCTCTGATACTTTCTTATTCTTCAAAACCTTCTTTCTAGACTTCATGAGGAAAACACAGCCCTTCAGATTTAATGTATTTTCAAAATATGCAAAAAAAATACAAATACACAAATCATTTTAATAGGTACACTTCGGTTGCTTGCCTTCTTGATAACTTCTGGGAAAATGCTTTAACCTTGCCAAAAATGTCTCCTAAATTACCCTTTTGTCTCCATTACTCCAGTGCTTGTAAAAACGAAGTCCCTGCTCTGGCCGGGAATTAGCAGAGAGGATGGCCTTCCGTTGACCTGAGTGATTCGTCTTTGTTACTAGATTTGAGGACAAAACTCTGCCTTTGGACTTAGTTTTCAAGTAAAACAGCGAAATGTTTTGGAGGTGAGAGGACGGGGGCGGGGTTATGTCACTGAATAATAGAACAGAATGTGACTTCAGAGGTAATGAGGCCAACTCTCCTGTTTTCTAAAAGCTAAAACTGAGAGAGGAAACGAGGCTTTTCTGGGTCAAGATAAGGAAAGGCTGAGGTGAGATTCAATATGTGGTCCTTTCTACTACTGTGTATGTTATAGTGATACTATAACAGTAATCGATTCTGGAAAACTCTTACCAAGTTAACTTACTCTAATACTGTGTGCGGGGGGCCTGATGTGGCAGGGATCTCCCTTTTCCGCGTCCCACATGGAAAGAGAGATGAACGAACCGGTTCTAAGTGGAGGTGGCCAGGGATTGAGAAATAATAGGAATAAAGAGAGAGGACATAGAAATAGATTTCCAGCTGGGACCTGGGAGGGCTGCTGACCTCCTCTGCTGGAGAGACAGACTGATGACCTCCTGAGCCACGCAGCACATCCATTTATTCTCCAATCCAACAGGGGTTTCACAGGAAAACAAGGAGCCTGGGAGAGCCCGGGTTCCACCCACTCCTTCCTCCTGGACAAACACAAGCCAGGAACTAAGACCATCTCTGGGAGTGCAGCCCTGGGAGTGCAACTGACATGACTCCGCCAATATCCGGGGCCCAGTCAGCAAGAATCTAAAGAATGTCCAGGCGTCTTCCCATTTGGCCCTCTACACTGTTAATGTAAAAAACCCATTGAAACCTGTAAAGAACTTTTGTGAGTTTGAGCCAAACTGTCGTCATATGCCAGGAAGCAGAACCTCAACGATTTGAGATAATGCTCCTGAGAATGGTGGGTTACATTTGTATTTATACATTGCCATCAAAGGAGGGACATAGGTCGGTTACATGAAATTCATTGGTGATGGATTAAGGAGGTGGGATAAAGCAAAGCGGTGGGAAACCCGTGGGATTGGATAAAAAGTAAAGTGATGGACACATACTGAGGTGGGTGTCGGAATAATTAACGTGATAATGAAGGAGTGTGTGGTATCAGTCCTGGTGTCCACCACATTTGGCTGTGCCCCAGAGGCTCCAGAAAAAAGGGAAGTTACAAGTCAACCAGATATTTCAAGGGTATGTTATCATAGATGCGAAATGTCAGATAGGCTCAGTTAAAGTAAAGGTTGACCTTGTCAGTGAAGATACTGGCCTTGGGCGTAACTGCCCACCGTAACTGCTTTAATTTGAGAACATCCTTTGTGGTTTCTTTAGGTCTCTAGTTTTCAAGACTACCATGCAGTCCTCCCCTGAGCTTGTCAGGTCAGCATGTGGCCCCTGTCATTCACAATACTTATTTTTCCTATTCTTTATTATTATTGTTGTTGTTGTTGTTGTTGTTGTCGTCTAAAGTTTTACATTTGTCTTCTTTTTCCCCAACTGACACCCTCCCGGCCACTCCCACCCCAGGCAAGCCCCCACTGCCCCAGTGCATGTGTCCATTGGTTATGATAATATGCATGCATACAAGTCCTCTGGGTGTTCTCTAACCATCCTCCCTCCCCTACCATTTGTCTCTGGCTCTATTCTTGTTCATCAAATTATGTTGATCATTATATTCCACATATGAGTGAGATCATGTGATATTTATCTTTCTTTCTCTGGGTTATTTTGCTTAGCAAAATGCTCTTCAGTTCCATCCATGCTGTTGCAAATGGTAAAAGTTCCTTCTTTTTTATAGCGGATTTTTCCCATTCTTGACAGAAGGGTGAAAATGAACTCATGAATAAGATTCAAATGTTTGAGAATTCATACATCCAGAAATGTTTTCATGGCATGCCCGAGTCCAGTGGTCGGCAAACTGCAGCTCTCGGGCCACATGCTGCTTGCAAGTCACGGTTTGGCGCTCAGTTGACTAATGACTTTGCCGACCACTGCCTTGGTGAGTTACATAACTGCATTCAAGGACATGCACACCATTTGCGATGTTACTTTGTGGGAATTAAATGAGACAATGTATGGCAAGCACTTTGCTCAACGCGTGGCCCATAGGAAGCAGTTAGCAAATATGAGCTAATTCATACTATAATTACTTGCTTACATCTGGGAGTCCTCTTTCAGCCAAAGAGCTGGGCAGAAAACATTTCCTCACAATTTTGGAGATAATTAGTGTATCCTTCTTCACAGCATTTGGGGAGTCCAAAAAATAAAAATAAAAAATAGCATGGTCACCATGGAAATCTGGGGAAACAAAGACACTAAAGATTTGCAAATGCATTTCAATTCCCTAAATAGGTTGGAAGCAGAAAGAGACACACATTCCATTTCCTGCCTTGTCCATCCAGTTTAAATACTTTCTCGCTCTGGTATCTCAAAAAGCTGAGTTTAACCGTGAAGCCCTTTGAAGAAAGCTCTGTGGGCTTCTCCCAGAGACTTCCTTCTTTCTCTCGCAGCAGAGCAGCTAGACAAAGCGGCAGTGGGCTTGTCTGAACACTTCCCCTTTACCGAAGGAAACAAACAAAGAGGAACTACATGTGGGTTGTTTTTTAAAATATATTTCTTTTTCCATTATTAAAGAAATAGGCCATCATCACTAATATTTATCAAGCAGAAACCACCTGCCAAGCAATGCACTGAGTGCCATAGTTTGTCCAACCAAAATTCCTGGGAAGTTTACCTAATTTCCCCATATCTCTCTTTCCTCATCCATAAGATGGGGATTAAAAATGATTCAGGGAAGAGCAAGAAGATTTTTAAAAATATATTTTATTGATTTTTTACAGAGAAGAAGGGAGAAAGATAGAGAGTTGGAAACACTGCTGAGAGAACCATCGATCAGCTGCCTCCTGCACACCTCCCACCGAGGATGTGGCTGCAACCAAGGTACATGGCTTTGACCGGGTTTGAACCTGGGACCCCCCAGGTCGATGCTGTATCCACTGAGCCAGACCCAGTAGGGCAAGAAGATTTTTTTTTTTTTAATGTAACTTAAAACTCAATGAAAGTTAAAAAAAAAAAAAAAGTGTTACCATTGTATAGCTCCCAATCCATTTGCACCTGATAGTGACTTACTGAATCTACTTGGCAGGTAAGGGGCTGTCATTATGTCTTTGTAATTACACTTTGACAGATAATTACACTATTTCCATTTCGCATGTTTACAATACGTGGTGTGCACACATTTTATAAAGTTTAAAATATGTGGAAATAGGAAATACTGCATGGCTGATTGGATGCTGCTGCTGACTGGGAGTAAAATTTTCTGAAAGTTGCAAGCGGCCTGTCACTCAATGCTTCATGGACAAGCTATGAGCCCCGTGGTGCACTGGATCTTTTCACTGAGCCATCCTACTAGTCTAACTGCAATTAATTCCTGCACTAAGGAATAAGAAAATGCATTTAAAAAACAGTACACACTTGTTACTAACCAGTATAAAGATTATCAACAAGCTGCCTTAGCTGGTTTTGCTCAGTGGATAGAGCATCGACCTGCAGACTGAAGAGTCCCAGGTTCGATTCCAGCCAAGAACACATGCCCAGGTTGTGGACTTGATCCCCAGTGCAGGGTATGCAGGAGGTAGCTGATCAATGATTCTCTCTCATCGTTCATGTTTCTATCTCTCTATCCCTCTCCCTTCCTCTCTGAAATCAGTAAAGAAATATATATATATAATAGGATCCTCGGCTCACCACCTTCTCCCGGAACCTCCCAGCACCTCATCCTTCACCTGCTGCATAAATATATATATATATATATATATATATATATATATATATATATATATGTAATTTTTTTTTTTTTAAGGATTACCAACAAGCTATATCAGAATATCCCATTCCAGGATTACTTTAAACAATATGACTCTTTGGAGAAGTGAGTATAAGTACAATATTCTAGCAGCTAGGAGACTTTGTAAAAATTGAATTGTGGGGAAATACACATTGAGACCATTCATTGATTAAATATGTATTAATGTCGACAATGTGCTCTGCACTCCCCCGCCCCAAATCTGAGGACACATAGTAAACTAAACAATGAACATGCTACGGGGCAGACAAGCAAAAGACGCTGTGCTGTCAGGCACTGCATGAAGGAACATGCAGCAGGTGAAGGATGAGGTGCTGGGAGGTTCCGGGAGAAGGTGGTGAGCCGAGGATCCTCCCAACACCCTACTGACTTGAAGAAGCCAACCACGTGCACATCTGTAAAGAGGGTTTCCTCACACCAACATTTGCTCATTCTCCAGGAGCCCGTGTGTGAGACTTTAAAAGTAAATGGACATCGTTAGCAATAGGCGCACAGCACACCGTTATATTTGACTTTAGTGCCTGTATGCAAATCTCTCTTTGGTATACACAGAGATCCTATAAAATGCCACCAACAGAGAGGTCTTTGCAGGCTTGAACTGATTGGCAGGCATATTTCATCTAAGAAATGAAGAAGGAGACTTAGGTGGAAGTAAGTCACTTCTTCTCTCATTGGTTTGTGACCCTGAGCTGCTCATCATATAAACCCAAATGTCAGTCACAGAGGAGGGTGAGAAAGAATCTAGAGACTCCACAGAGACTCGGCACAAGTAAGTGATATGATCGACCTTCTCTAAGATAAGAAACGAGATACCTTTTACTGTTGAAGGTTTTAGTTTTATTACTGTCATATTCTCTTTGTGGTGGAGTGACTATCTTTTCTCACCACTTCACTTGCTCACAGCCTCTCTGTGTCAGTGGCTGAGTGGAAATCAAAAGGCAATTTCTAAGAGAAATACAGGTACTGGGTGGTTTTAGAAGATTTTTAAAAGATCCTGCAAGTGGATTTTAACATAGAAAATACTGTCAGTACCCCAGGGGAAAAGCTTGTCCTAGTTCCAGGTTTGTGAATTGTTCCAGATTTTTCCCAAGTGATGTTTTCAGTGTGTGAAGCAGTAGAGAAGGTAACCGTTTTCCTTTTCTTTTTCTTTCTTTCTTTCTTTCTTTCTTTCTTTCTTTCTTTCTTTTCTTTCTTTCTTTCTTTCTTTCTTTTCTTCTTTCTTTCTTTCTTTTCTTTCTTCTTTCTTTCTTTCTTCTTTCTTTCTTCCTTCCTTTCTTCCTTCCTTCCTTCCTTCCTTCCTTCCTTCCTTCCTTCCTTCCTTCCTTCCTTCCTTCCTTCCTTCCTTCCTTCCTTCCTTTCTTTCTTTATTTCTTTTTTATTTTAAAGGTGTAGGGGTTTTATTCTTCCCTATCCCCATGTAAAATAGGTATTATTTTTATTAGGAAGAAGGAAGATGGACATGCGTGGGCAACGTTGCTGTGGCTCTGTCGGAAGGAATTAGCGTTAATACTGAAACCTTCTCAGCATAGTGACTAGCACACGGGGAGTGCTCAGTACCTGTTGGCCATGATGATGACAGGTCTTTCCCCCAGGGCCAGATGGGGCAAGAGAGGCGACTGAGGCAGTCAGAGCACACAGTGCAAGGGGCAGTTAGTCTCGGGGTTGGGCACATGCTGACCCTGCACCTGTTGGAGACTGAGTACCTCCCTAGAAGGAAGGGCCTCTCTCAGGCAAGAAAAAAAACGTTCAGGTATTTTATTTATTACTAGAGGCCTGATGCACGAAATTTGTGCAAGGGGATTGGCCCCTCCCTCCCCCACCACCACAGCTGCTGCCTCTGCCTCAGCCTCTGCCACTGCAACTTTATCCAGAAGGTTGTCTGGAATTACATCAGGTCTAATTAGCATATTATGTTTTTATTATTATAGATGTTTTCTATCACTTTAAGGCTCATTTTATTGAAGTGTCCCCGTGTTTTGCCAAGAATTGAATTCTATCATCAATTGGTTTCATACATCCTTTAAGGCATTTGCCTCAGGCCAGAAATTGGAACTCACAGTTCCCAAAGCATATTTTAATTATTCCTCGTGATTTGGATTTCATGTGAGGCAAGTGTTTAAAATGATTGTTTAGTTGGTCTTTGATAGGAAAATAGATGTCTTGTCTTGCTAATTAAAAATTAAACATCTGGTATTTGATTCAAATCCATAACTTACTCAGTTAACAAAAATTTTTATATTTTTCTTTTGTCCCACAATTTAACTCCAACCTGGCAACTTTTCCAGAACGGAACTGGAAATGCTCAGGCACACTGGGAATGGGGGAAACTAGCAAGCCTTACCACCAACTGTTAATGGGTTTCATGTCAATATGTGCAAGAAATTCTCACGCAGACAGTAACATCTCATGTGATTGCTGTCTGAATACAATTGTTGCATTTCAAAACACTGCAGTCTAGTCAATGAGAGTACATACATTATGCTCTGATTATTACTGGTCAAGTTTGGTTGTAACAAAAAACAGAAGGCAAATTCACAAGCAATCTTTGTTTTTATACTGAAAACTCATAGACATAAAAAAATCACTAACATAAAACTGTATCTCCAATTCCCAAGTATGTTCGAAGTTCCTTTTATTTAAAACTAAGAGCTCGCTCATGTAGGCCAACACTTTCATGAATAAAATAAATTAGGGTAAACAGCATTTAGATTCTGGATTGAACTGTAATATGGTTAATAATCCCTTACTTGTAAGTTTTCTACCCATCAAAATTACTCCAAAAATCCTATTTCTTTTTTTTAGTTACCTGTTGAAATCTTAATGGGCACAACCATAATAATTGAATATTAGTCTCCTTTGCCAAAGAGTTGCATTTGTTGTGTGTTGTTGTTTTTTTTTTTGTTTGTTTGTTTGTGGGTTTTTTTTGTGTGTTTTTTGTTGTGTGTGTGTGTGTGTGTGTGTGTGTGTGTGTGTGTGTTAATCCTCACCTGAGGATATTTTTCCATTGATTTTTAGGGAGAGTTGAAGAGAGAGGGAAAGACAGAAACATCGATGTGAGAGAAACACATCAATTGGTTACCTCCTGCACATGTCCTGACCAGGGCCTTGGCTGGGGAGGAGCCTGCAGTCAAGGTGTATGCCCTTGACTGATATCAAACCTGGGACCCTTTGGGCCACAGGCTGATGCTTTGTCCATGAGCCAAACTGGATTGTGGTCACCTTTCTGGCACAAACACTAGAATTTTTTAGACTGTTTCACTCCTCTTACAACAGTGTACAGAATAAAATATTGGCTTAGTTAAAACAAAATGGTTTTTATTATGATAAAAGTTTATTTTATTAACCTACTGCTACAATAAATTATCAAATAACTACACTGAAATGTACTATGGTAATATGAAGTACAAAGAGCTACAAAGCTAGTAGGAAGACAGAACTTTTCAAAAACACTAAAATATTTAATTTCTAAACTAGTTTAGCATATATTAAAGCTAAATCTTCTTTTGCATTTAATGGCTAAATTCATATGCATTCATATGTGAAAGTTTCTATCCAGGGTATTTACTAGTCACTATTCATATGGTGTGTTTTTAAGAAACTATGTATCTTGGTTTTTTCAAAGAGAATTCTAAGAGGGCTTTTTATTTGTCTGCTGAATCAGGAACTTTACATGACCTTTTTTGGAATAGAAAGAAGGTAGTGGTTAGTTTTAAGACTAAAGGAGTTCTTTAAGCACAAACAACTGTTTAACTTCCGGTTTCTGTATCATTTCAGGAAATAATATGCAGCTCTCCCTATCTATTGGGATTCTTTTTTTATTATTATTATTTTTTTTAAATATATTTTATTGATTTTATACAGAGAGGAAGGGAGAGAGATAGAGAGCTAGAAACATTGATGATAGAGAGTCATCAATCAGTTGCCTCTTGCACACCCCCTACTGGGGATATGCCCGCAACCAAGGTACATGCCCTTGACTGGAATCGAACCTGGGTCCCCTCAGTCCCCAAGCCGACGCTCTATCCATTGAGCTAAACCGGTCCTGGCTCTATTGGGATTCTTAACACAGAATGACAGTGGAAGGTCTCAGCAATGAAGCTAAGAGGAAATAAGAGGCCAGCACGACACTAGAATTTGCCTAGGCCAGTCAAATCATAGTTCGGTCTATAACCCACCTGGGTGTTATTTGCATGTATTATGTGAAGTTGGAATCTGATTTTCATGTATTAGGTGAAGTTGGAATCTGATTATGTGTATTTTTCCTCCTTTGTCTCAGAGCTATTTGTTGTTGATAATCCTCACCTGAGGATATTCTTCCATTGCTTTTTAGAGAAAGTGGAAGGGAGAGGGCAAAATAGAAACATTGATGGGAGAGAGAAACATCTATTGGTTGCCTCCTTCACATGCACCAACCAGGGCCAGGGATCAAGCTTGCAACCAGGGTACGTGCCCGTGACCAGAATCCAACCTGGGAACCATCATTCTATAGGCTGATGCTCAATCCACTGAGTAAAACCAGCCAAGATGACTCAGAACCATTTTGACTTCATCCCTTTGTGTCCCCACTGAAATGTCTTACCTGCTGTGTGTTATCAGAGGTTCTGTTTTGAGATGCTATGCAGCTCTGTGTGTCTAAGTCCTAAACAAAGATCACATTACCTGAATTGCAAGGTTTTCTATATGTCCTGCCATCTGGCACGTCCAGTCCTCTCCTTCTCTCTTCGTTTATCTCGGCTACTTGGTCCTTAGCATTTCCATTTGAAATTCAGGATCAGGTTTATCTTGGATTTTTGAATATAGACAATCATTTTGATTATAAATAAAATAGTTTTTATCTTCTTTCCACTCCTTACAGATGCTATCTTAATGAATTAACTAGGCCACCTGGGACTATGTTGAATGGTAGTAGGGTCTTGTTATTCCTGACATTAAAGGAAATGCTTCTATTTTGTTTTCCATTATGTATGATATTTGCTCTGAGGTTTTTGTAGAGACTCTATTAGGTTTAGGAAGTTTTTCTCTATTTTCAGTTTGCCAAGAGGTTTGTGTTTTGGGTTTGTTTTTTTTTAATAGATTTTTTTTTTTAACACAAATGAATGATTAATTTTTGTAAAGGGTTTCTTTGCATCTATTGAGAATATGATTTATAATTTTTATAATTTATTACTGTCGTTTATTATACAGATAGATGTTTTGGTGATGGCATATCTTCCATTCCTGGAATAAATGTATCTTGTCATTATATTTTATTTCTCTTTTCACTCTACTGAATTTGAACAGCTAATAAGTTATTTAGGGTATTTATATCTCTGTTTATAAGTAAGATACATCTATACTCTTCCTCTTTAATATACCTTTGACTTTTCTTAATTTTTCAATTCCCTGAAACTACTTGTAAAAGACAAGGATTACCTTTTCCTTGAAGATTAAGTAAAATTCTCCTGTAAAATCATCGGGGCCCTGTCTCCTTGATGGGTGTGACTAATTACCAATTTGGTTTCTTTTCTGATTATTGTTCCAAGCAGGCTCTTGGTTTCTTTTTTATGTTTGTTTTGATGTATAAACCTCTCAAAATTTCTCCACTTAGATTTAGTGACATAAAGTTATTTGTAGAGGTAGCTTATGATTTTTAATGGTCTGCTTTACCTGCTATGATCTCTTTTTTATTTGTAACATTAATTATTTTGTGAATTTTCAGATCTTTTCCTTTTAGGGGCAGCAATTTGACCTTTTAAGACATATTATAAAAATGGACGCCAGACCCTAGTT